AAAATGTGAACTACAGCTTAAAACTACTCATTAAAACTAAAAAAAAATACATCACCAGGTATTAAAAACAGTTTTTACATTACACAGCAGATAGTGTAAATCCATTTGTCCCTTGGGAGTAATGAGTGGACATGCATCCAGTTAAAGATTAATTAATGAGTTCAGTGTGGGAAGTTGTTAGGGCATCGCTGATCAAGCAGGTGTTATCTATATCTCCTGGGAATTTGGCAAAAGAGTTAAAGATTTCTGTTCTCTAATTCTCTTAATTGTTATTTATTGTCCGTCAAAGTACTGACCAGCTTTTTATTTATAAAATAAATTTGATGTAAAGTTATCAAGATTAATTTGATTTTGTATAATACATGTATGTTGTTTTTTTCCCTCAACAATCAATTTCAGTGTCATGTCCCACAAAGATGAAAGATAGTTGCAATGTATTAAAAAACATAGTAATTACAATATATTAGTGTTGCTATTTTATTAGGTTGCACCTTAGTTTCATTCATTTAAAAAAATATAATGAGCAATTATATTTTTACTCTAAATGTTTATAAGAAAATTGTGAATATAACCACTTAGATCCATAAAATATTAGTAATTTGGCACCTTTTCCTAAAAAACCCAGCGGGGGGTATTTGTCCCTTTTGGACAGTTCTAGTTATTATTGAAAGGGTGATCATGATCAAATCTTTTTATTTCTTTTGGTGCATGCAAGTATTTGTAACATGCCAAGGTTGACAGAGAAATAAGAATTGAGAATTTCCATAGGTAAATACTGTCTGGCAAAATATGCCAGAGTTAGACAAAAACAGGAAATTCTGGGAAGTAAATTATTCTTATGCATTAAGTGATTTGCTCTGACATTCAATTTTTATGCATAATAACATTTGAATTTTTATATTAATATGGTACACCATTAAAGAAATGGTTTGGGATTAAAGAATATTGCAATATTTACAGATGGTTCTTGCATGTGAGTTCAAGTTGGTAATTCATTCACAACAAAATTAGAACTTCTTTCTCATAAAGAGAATATTTTGCATTGACAACTAAAAAACAATGCTAGAAATTTAAATGCAGATCTTTTTAAAATTATAATCTCAAAGATGATTTATCATTGATTTTTGTGGAAATGGATATGAAGACTATTCTTACTTTCATGAAGTCCCAAAAATTGATCTCCCCAATTATCTGGACTATCATATTGTTGAACAAAAATAAGTGTACAAGTTCTATTGAATGGTACTGATGCTTGTTTATTGAATTTATGTTAAAAACCTTTTTTTTCTTAACAATTTTATACATATGCACTGTACAGAAAAAAGAGTATTTTGGCTAAGACTACATCTAAGTATTATCTACAGTGTCAAATTGTGTGCATAATGATATGAATTTCACCAACCTTTCTGAATGTAGTTATAGCCTTTTGCTTTGCTTTTACAGGTAATTTACATAATGGTTAAAAGATACTATTTTGTAATTTAGGTTATTTACTTAGTGGTTACAGAATATTGTTTTGTAATAAGGTAATTTACAGAAGGATTACAGAATATTGTTTTATAATTAGGTAATTTACATAATGGTAACAGAATATTGTTTTGTAATTAGGTAATTTTACATAATGGCTATAGAATATTGTTTTGTGATCAGGTAATTTACATAATGATTACAGGATATTGCATTGTAATCAGGTAATTTACATAAAGTTTACAGGATATTGTTTTACTGTTGGAGAGAACAGGGTAACTCTTAGATCCACTGTTCAATCTTCTTCACTTCTGAGTAAAATATTTATTGAATTAAGTCACAAACCATAAATGATGAGTGAAAATAACTTTTGAGTAGACAGTTTTCAGTTTATATAAAATTTTTATCATGACAATACATGTATTATGATGTCAAACTTGACAATGGATGTTACTGTAAATGTACTTTATTTGTCACCTCCCTCACCTATCCTCTTTACACCCACTGGCACATAAGGCCCCAATACACTTCCTCCACCTGCCTCTGTCTTTGGCTGCTGCCCTCACTGACGCCCAGCTATTCCAACCTAGTATTTTATTTGTGGTGAACAGTATTTGACAGAAATTGGTTTTTCAACAAGTTAGTGTAGATCTGATTTAGTATTTTTCTGTATATGCTTTATATGCATATATTTACACAAGACATTAAGTAATGTTCATGTACTTGATTAGCTAAAGCTGTTGTCCACGAAAAGCATTAAATAGAATACACAGCATAGTGTAATATGTTTACAGTATTATGTTGTTTTTAAAAGAAAAAATAATAAAGTCTTTTTTTTCTCCATATAGATATGTATAAGTTTACTGACTCAATTTCATGACAATGTTTCCTAGAATGGTCACGGTTGTGATTTTTCAATTTTGTATGCAACAATTTTGCCCTGTACATGTATGTTCATGTTTATAAATGGAATCTCATATTTTATACTCCCATGAAAGTATGGAAAAGTGATCAAAATGTAGTTATTTTATATACATATAACATAAAAAGAAGGCAGTGTCTGTAAATTATATCTACATAGTTATATAGAAATTATTAAAAATAAAGACTTGTGCACATTATGATAAATTATGTAGAACAAATACAGAGTACTAATTTAATGCTTGCATGCCTCTTATTTCATACACATTGGACCTGAAGCCTTTCATTTTTAAATTCTTTGAAATTTTATTTTTATTGTACATATACATGTATCTAGACTCAATGAAATTATTTTTGAAATGTAAATCTGAGCATAATACAAAGTATGACATTTACATGCTTCTGCTATATCTGCACCATTTTTTCCTGATTTATATATTTTTTCCCAATTTATGATATATTGAGACTTGAGAGGGTTTTTCTTTAACGGAATAATGTTTGATTCAAAGAAATAAACAACTACAAACCATTGATGTATTTTACATTTCTTTTGCCACAGTACGTCAAGCAAATGGCCTTCAGAGCTCTACCAATTATGCAAAGACTGTGTGTTTTATTCATGAACAATGCTGGGTTTTAAAACTTTCTAAAATGTCTTATTAAATTAGATTTTAAATAAAAAATTGAAAGGAACATCCTGTTTAAAGTCTTCCCGTGGTGAGTAGGGGAAACAAAGTTTTATGCATGATTGTATTATTTTTTTTCTTTTAATCAACCTGTACATGCAGCTGACTAACGAAAGAGGCAATGTAGCAGTAATGTACATGTATATACTTTTAAATGTAGCGGTAATGACAATTTTGAAAATGTAGCGGTAATGATACGCACCCCATTATTAAAATTATATTTCAGAGGAACTGGGATTTAATTCTACAAGAGGTAATCCAACTTATACCCATAGCTCCCTTTCTAAGGAGGAAATTCTTCAAAATCATATGTCTTTGAATATTTTTAATATTCCCAACAACCAAAATGAATTTGAATTACCATATCTATATTGGATTCCGAAACTTCATAAAAATCCTTACAAAGATACATAGCGGGTTCCAGTACCAAGCCTCTTTCTTTACTCCTCTAAAATATTAACAGTAGTGAAGAAGAAACTTCAGGAGTACTGTGCAACAATGTATTCGAGAAGTGATGTAAATCAGATTTGGATACTTCAAAATTCCAAGGAACTTTTGGAAAATTTGAATTTACAAAAATTTTACTAAAATCAACAACATAAAAACTTACGACTTTTCAACTTTATATTCAACCATTCCCTACGATAAATTAAAGTCCAGGGTTTTTGACATCATTGACAGCTGCTTTTTTCAATGAAAATGGAACGCGTAAATTTACTCACCTTGTCATTGGTCATTTGCAAAATTATTTTGTTAAAAAACATTCCGATTGTATACACAAGTACCCTGAAGTTGACATTAAAAATATGCTTGAGTTTCTGATTGACAATATCTATGTGGTTTTTGGAAACCATGTCTTCCAACAATCTATTGGGATTTCCATGGGTACCAATTGCGCTCCGTTATTAGCAGACCTTTTTTGGTATTCATATTGTCCAAAATCTTATACATGAAAAGAAGAAAACACTTGCTGTGGCATTCAACTCGACATTTAGATATATCGACGACGTATTGTCAATTAACAATGGTTATTTCCATTCTTATGTCGATACGATATATCCAGGTGAGCTTGAGATAAAAGATACCACAGGGTCTGACACATCTGTTTCATATTTGGATATTTTACTTGAAAAAACGTTTATGGTAATCTAATAATCAAGCTTTATGATAAACGTGATGAATTTAACTTTTCAATCGTCAGCTTCCCTTACTTATGCAGCAATATACCTTCATCACCTGCATACGGGGTTTATATCTTTCAGTTGAGTCGATGCGCATGGACATGCTCTACGTATGACCAATTTCTTAAATGAGGTAGGTTATTGACAAACAAGTTGATGAAACAAGAATATCAGCAGTTTCGTTTAAAGTCATAATTTCATTAGTTCTATGGTCGATACAATGACCTTGTCAGCAAAACAATCATCATTAAATCAAATACTGACTGACGTTTTTCATACTAATTGTTAAAGGTCATTATTTACATACTGTATTGTCGACGGATTTTTCCGTTATTTCCCGATCATGACAAGAAGCACACGGCGGGTGTGACTGGTCGGCAGAGGATGCTCATTCTTCCATGGCACCTGATCCCACCTCTGATCTTTTAGAGGTCCGTGTTTGCTCTGCTCCTGATTTGTATTGTTTAATGGACTTTGGAGCTAGAATACTGTTCGTTATTACCATATATTTCATTCATTAAAAGTTACGGACCGGACACAAATTTTACACTTTATCGCCCGTGACCCTGTACTTGTCCGAATGACCTTGAATTAAGATCAAGAAAGTTATGACCCGAAAACGATTGCACGTAGAGACATACAAATTTCAAGTTTTTATTTAAGGCAAAGACCTCAACTGGGGTGTATGAATACAAAATTAATGAACACAACAAAATAACATATAAGCAGTGAGTGGCACTAAAGTTAATTACTATGTACATGTATATTTCAGAAAATCAAAGTACACATGTATGGAAGATCCCTGCAAGTATATATAATAAGTATATTTGTACTACAGCATATTTATATAGTATTTTTACGTTTTTGTTTTTTATTAATAAAGCCTAGTGCCTATGGTCCAATCATATATCTATAGATATTTAAGGGAGTCTGCTATTCCCGACTTAACTTGAAATCTCGACCATATTACGTATTTTTTCTCTGGTTTTAGCTCTCTCTCGGGAATAGATCATATACCACACTATGTCACAGGCCACGTATGTGTTCGTATTCAATCAATCTTACTCTTTTCTTTAACGTGATCATAATTACTGATGTATAGGCTTGCCCTGATATTCCATTTATTGTTCTGATATAATCCCAAATGGGTATAGATATCTGGTTTGTATATCAATCGGGATTTAACCCCCAAACTTCTTATTGTTCGTTCACTTTCAAAAACTTCCTCTTGATCAAGGAAATTGTTATTATATAAACAGATTACGTGTTGATCTCCAGGGCTGGTACTGATTTTGGCCGAGGTCGAAAGCGTGAGCCCCGAGGATACACCTTTTGCTATCTTGGCCCATAACTCGTCACCGTCTGATCCAACCCTTTCAAAAACCATCCATTTTCCATGAGTAACATTGTACTTTCTTGCCAAGTGAAGTATATCTTCTTTCGAAATTTTCCCCTTCCGTTTCAGTTTTTCCCAGTCTTCTTTCAGACCCTTGAGATTGACGCCCCGGTTGCTTTCGACATCAGCACTGCGTCTCACCCACAACCAACGAGTGCTATTCAAGATACAAAAAATAATAGTTTGCATACTTGCTAAAATGTTGAAATCGTTGATGAATATATTACAAAAACAAGACGACCATGGGCCACAATACTCACCTGACTTACTTGAGCCCTGCTGTTGTTCATAAGATTTTAAAAAGATTTTTTTTTACATTCTCTTGAAAAATTGTGATCCCATATTATGACCCCACTCTAAGTGATCTCTGAATCCACACACCATGCGAATGCTTCAAAATCAATATGACTAAAATGGCCAGTTATACATGGAGAAGAATTTATTTTTCTTGTATACATGCATTATATAAAACTTAATCCTGCTTTCAGCCAACTCTAATCCGAGTCCATAATTTAAAAAAAAAACCCATCAAATTCACACGACATGGGGATGTTTGCAAATTAATATTTCCACTGTGTTTCTTTAAAAGATTTTTTTTTAATTCTTATATAGTTCCATGCAAAACTTTAATTTATTGTGGCCCCACAAATCCCCCCCCCCTCCCCAGGGGCATGAGTTGAACAGTTTTATATCTACTCTACCTTAGGAAGCCTTCACCTTTTCTGGTCCAGTGGTTCTTGAGAATAACAAATTTTTATTATATATATATATTTAAATTTGAAAAAATTGACCCCTTAATATACCCTAACCCTAACTCTTTGGGCTATGAATGAAATAAAATAGAATCTACATTATGTCAATAGAAGTTTTCACAAAAATTTCATCTTTTCTAGTCCAGTGGTTCTAGAGAAGGTTTTAAAAAAGATTTTTCTGATATTTCAATGTAAAACTTTCATTCCCTGTTGTGGCCCCAACCTTATCACATCAGATAGCTTCCGTGCAAGTTTCACATTTTCTGGCCCAGTGGTTTTTAGAAGAAGATTTTTTTTTATATATTCAATGTAAAATTTCCCCCTTATTGTGGCCCCACCTTAACCACGGGAGTCATTATTTGAATAATTTTGAAGTTACACTTTCACAAGAAGTTTCCACATAAGTTTGAACTTTTTTTCGTCAGTGGTTTTTGAGAAGCAAATTTTTTAGTGCCTCCACCTTTTTTGTTTGCATTTTCTTGAACATCTACCCTTGGACAATGGCTCAGCCTTTGTGAACAATTTAGAATTCATTTTACCCAACCCTTACCCAAGAATGCTTTGTGCCAACTTTGGTTGGAATTAGCCCAGTGTTTCTATAGATAAAGTCGAAAATGTGAAAAGTTTACAGACGGACGGACGCCTTACAACGGGTGATCAGAAATGCTCACTTTCAAGAGCTTTCAGCTCAGGTGAGCTAACAAAACAAGAATGTTTTGAAAATAGCATTTTGATAAAGGTCATAGACTGATATATAAGTATATCAAAGTTTTGATTAAATTGCATAAACTTTTAAAATATAGTTACAAGTTAGAATTTCTGAGATTGTGCATCCTCTGTATAACTCCGCTAACCTGTGCATCATTAAAATACTAGTAACCCTCTACAACTCTTAACAGGACTCCCAACAACAAAAGAACAGAAACATATTTCTCATCGAAAGAAAATTTGCAACTGAACCCAGTACTGTATGGTATTAAACTCTTCTGCTAACCATAGGGAACTCTAACAATAACTAATCTAAACATCTATTTTACAACTGAAGTCCACCATGCAAAGCCCCCCCCCCCCAAAAAAAAAAGGAAAACAAATCTAGAAAATAAGTCCTAAATGAAGATAACCTGAGAACAGACAGATTTTGGGAGTTAAACAACATGAAAGCATAGCCTGCATTGAACTTTCGCGTCTAAAGGAATTGTAGTATAAATTGAAAAATAGAAATAATGTCAACAAAAAATATACCCTTGTGTCAACGATGTCGACGGTTTGTGGGATGACAGCCATTCTTCAATAGATTCTTCGTTCGACCCATTGATATAGCTAGGACTCACCCCCATAGCTTTCCTTTCACTGCCACACCCCTGAAAAAGAACTGTTACATGTACTACCAAATTTGCTGATTTTATATAGTATTATTAAAACAGGTAAAAGTTTTCATTGTGCTCAATAAAAAATGCTGATACGCATATAGCTTATGTTCTATGCATGACGATCAATGACCTAAGTGTTACTTTGCAAGGACTGGAGTATTTGTTCTCTATAACTCAAGTTTCAAGATAGACTTGTCATGGCATAGGTTGAACGAACAGACTCTGTATTCCTTCTGTTAATTCATATACCCATGTCAGATCACGTGATAACATAAAATCCAAAAATTCGATATAGATCATCGATCCGACCCTAATAAGAAAGTATCTACGCAAATTCGCTGAACATGCGTGCATGATATGTAGTGTATGAGCGATTTCTTTAAATTAGTTTGTTTAACTTTTCAAACAATTTCTAAGAAGCAATAAAATAAAACTGTCTTTCATTGTTTAACATACAGAAAATATCTTAATTCCCGAAAGTGCAAGTACATTGTATACATAAACCCGAGATCATCATATAAAGATTATTCAAGTTATTTCAATTCTTGGCCTTTATAATAGGGTGGTGGGGCCACGATAAGAATTCCGTTTTCCCAGGTCCTTGGTATACTTAAAATAAATCCTCTCAATTCAAAACGTTCCTGTAGGTTAGGTACAACTTTGTTCAATTCATAATTGTCCCTGGAGTTATGGTAGGGCTATAAAAGGATGGGTGACGTAGGAATATATAGAAATATGATTAAAAATCTTACAATACTGGGAATAGTGGGAATGAAGGATATGTGAAAAGTAATGCATCGAAATGTAATGTACATGGATTTCTGTTTTAATTAAAAAAAATTACGATTTCTAGGAAATCACTAAACAAATATATCAATTATATCAATCATGCACTTATAAGCATATGATACATAAATACTAGTCAATTATTTAGATAAATATGTCGACAGATAATCACCTCTTTTCAACACTATAGACTAGGAATTGCTTAATATATTGTCCAACTTTTATGTGTGTGTTTTTATTACTGCCTAAAACAACACTTATGTTGGAATGAGAATTATCAAGATTATATTGCTTTCATTTTCGGGACAAAAGATCATTATTCTTCCACTTCAAAAGAAACAATTCTATATTATTTTGGTAATTTTTTTTAATCATATAGTTGGTAAAATACAGCACAGTTCTTTCCTGATTTTTAGTATCATTTTCATGTTAACTGAGACCTTTAATTAATAGTTGCTATAATAAGTTAATCCCATGTGGACGTAGGAGACAATAACTGCCGATATATAAAGTATACGTAAAAAAAACCACTCCCTTTTTTGAAAATGATTAGTTGTGCCCCCCCCCCCCCAAAAAAAAAAACTACATTGAACCGATGATATAATTTTCATTATCATATTTTCATATTACACTGTCTGATGGGGGACAGTGTTAATATTTATGATATCAAAAATTAAACGATGTCCGAGTATCATCCATTTTGTCAACAATAACAGAGAAAAGTACATGACATTATATATTATTCAAATCATACATGAAATAATTTTAATTATACATGAAATTATTTTCTGCAAGATTTGTTAAATGGAAAAAAGATATTGTAAAGATAAAATGTAGTGTAAATACATGGACGTACATGTAGGAACCGGATTCATTTGAATTGAACTCGGATGTCATGATATATAGACTTTCAATAATAGTCGATTATATTTAATTTGGATCCGTAGCAGACCTGTACCAACGTTTTTCAAAGGTGGGAGGGGGGGGGGTGGAGGGGGGAACCTCCCGGAAATAAAATTGACAATAAATAAATAAAAACATATTTAAAAAAACAATAATAAAACAACCTAAACTGCCGATCTGTCCAAGCTCCGAAATCATATTGGAAAGGGGGGGGGGGGGGGTCTGGACGTGACTTTCTCGAACTTTCGATATATATATATTTTTTCAAATGCTGAAATTTTGAATTTTCCCCAAATTCGACCTTACAGCTACAAAAAGAAGGGGGCAAGTAGGAAGTAGGGTCTAAAGAAAATATATCAAAACTACAGCAAAAGGCTATAATTTATTCTCAGAAATAGTGTTGGGGGGGGGGGGGGAGGGGCAACGGGCCCAGCTGCAAAGAGGAAATATTTTAAAACCTAAATTTAATGATAGAACGTTCTGTCAATACGAAAGCCCATTGAACTCATTTTCGTAGGTTAAAAAAATTCTCGTACAATGGGCTTTCGTATGTCAATCTGCCTAAAATCCTATCCTTTGATCTCTTCAACTCTGAGAACATATGAGCGGATCAAAGGATATATATGTACATACACGCAAGATTTTAATCAGACTGAACGTTCTACCTACGCAGTACCGTTTTTAAAAGATCTGTTATCTATCAATTAAAATGATATAAAAAGTCAAAGGTATAATATGCAAACGCAATGATATCACTTTCATTTCTTATTCACGGAATATATTACGTAAAACTGCGTGAGAAAATAGTGGAAAATGAACAACTGAATACATAAGATTAAATTGTATCAAACATACGTTTTAAAGCTAGGTTATTAATACATTCGATGTACATATACTTACCTGAATGTCTGAATTAAATCAGTGCAATATAAAAGTATCTTACGAAAGCCTAGAGGGGTCAAATAAGAAAATAAAAAAAAAATTAAAAAAGTCGTAATAACGAGATAAAAAGTCGTTATTACGAGATAAAAAGTCGTTATTACGACTTAAGAAAGTCGTAATAATGAGATAAAAAGTCGTAATAACGAGATAAAAAGTCGTTATTACAAGATAAAAAGTCGTTATTACGACTTAAGAAAGTCGTTATTACAAGATAAAATGTAGTTATTACGACTTAAGAAAGTCGTAATAACGAGATAGAAAGTCGTTATTACGAGATAAAAAGTCGTTATTACGACTTTTTATCTCGTAATAACGACTTTTTATCTTGTTATTACGACTTTCTTAAGTCGTAATTACGACTTTTATCTCGTAATAACGACTTTTTATCTCGTTATTACGACTTTCTTAAGTCGTAATTACGACTTTTATCTCGTAATAACGACTTTTTATCTCGTTATTACGACTTTCTTAAGTCGTTAATTACGACTTTTTATCTCGTTATTATGACTTTTTATCTCGTTATTACGACTTTTTATCTCGTAATAACGACTTTCTTAAGTCGTAATAACGACTTTTTATCTCGTTATTACGACTTTGTCGTAATAACGACTTCTTATCTCGTAATAACGACTTTTTGTCTCGTTATTACGACTTTTTATCTCGTTATTACGACTTTCTTAAGTCGTAATAACGACTTAATTTTATCTCGTAATAACGACTTTCTTAAGTCGTAATAACGACTTTTTATCTCGTTATTATGACTTTCTAAAGTCGTAATAACGACTTTTTAATTTTTTTTTTTTCATTTTCTTATTTGATCCCTCTAGGCTTTCGTAGTATCTCCTTTTTGACAGCAATCTATTCGTTTAACATTCCATATGTTTTGCGGCTAAGTATGGAACGCCAAAACAGACTTAAAAGATAGGCCTACATGTACCTTTGGTATTTCAAGGGTTATTCAGAATTCTTTAATTTTATTTATATTCCCTCCGCTGAGAATCCCCTGAAATAGTATTCTTGTTTAGATAATACTCACCGGTTTAATATTTTTTTTTTTTTAGGAAATTCCTTCTTGCTCTTACATGTACCAGCTTACAACCTGGAGTCGGTCAAGATCAGTGGCTGAATTACAATTTCAAACATATTACAAAATACCTTGGGCGAAATTCTGTCATTGAGGTGTCAACTGTTCAATGAACGGCTGTATGCTTTTCATAAGTTATGATTAAGCTTTGTAACTGTATATAAAATATTCCGTAATGTCAGGAAGTTATTCAGAAATTGACACAAACTTCAAGTTTCTCTAGACAACGTTAACATTCAACACGTCTACTAAAGATATCTACATGTAGTACTAGTAGCATTTCCACGTTCCATTGCAAAAAAATTATGAAAGCTTTAGTTGAAATGCATCTGATGTACATGTATATCTTCAAATAAGGATTGAAAATGCATCATACACTGTCTAGTCAGGGGAGACACGTACCTTGACATACACAGGTCACATCCGTAAATTAGCTGTTTTCTTTTGTATGCAATGACAAAAATATAGGGGAGGGATATTTCCGGTTCCTAAGTGCCTGTTTGTTAGTCAAATCAGATTACTTAGTTACAAGTAGTTTTTTAACTTTGAATATGAAAGATTCTTGTGTGTGTATGTGAATAATAGAACACCTGGTACCCAGTTAGAGTATTTATTAACCCTTTTCAGCTTTAGTTTCAATAATGAACCAGTACAAGGGAAGGGGGGGGGTGGTGGTGGCTTTTTTCCGAGTATAGTATTTTGCTATAGTAAATTTTCCTTTAGATACTGGTGGTCCCCCCCCCCCCCACTTTTTGATCTTGCAAGGTCGAGCACTGGCAATTTCCAGGACTTGGACAGTAAATTAGCTTTTTTTGCTTGTCAGATATTTTTGAAAGCCCCCCCCCCCCTTTTGAAACCGTTGCTACGGGCTTGTTGTTTCAATGATGATTGAGGAAGGGGGAGGAGGTTATACCATCAGTATGTCAGATGTATGTGATTTTTTTGGCTGAAAGCTTTAAATTTCTAAGAATCTTTACTTGGGGTATGGACCCACCTCTCTATATTTTAGCTCATCTGAGCTGAAAGCTCAAGTGAACCTTTCTGCGATAACCCGCTGTCCAGCATCTGTCTTACCGTATGTAAAATTTTCACAACATCTCCAGAACCACTAGGCCACTTTTAACCAAAGTTGGCACAAAGAATCCTGTGATAAAAGGAAATTCTGTTTTCAAATACAAAGCCTAGCTCTCTTTCAAGGGGAGATAATCAAGAAAAGGCAAAAATACAATGGGGTTATTAATAAATCTTCTCAAGAACCACTACTGGCACTAGACCAGAAAAGGTGAAAGTTATGTGAAAGCATCCTGAGGAAGTGTATATTCTAAATTGCTAAAATCATGGCTCCCAGGGGAAGGGTGGGACCACAATTGGGGATCAAAGTTTTGTGCTGGAATATATTGGAACAAATCTTTTAACATTTTTTTCTAAGAACTGGACCTGAAAAGATGAAACTTTGGTGAAAGCTTCCTGATATAACCTACATTCTAAATTCTTGAAAACATGGCCCCACTGGGAAGGCTGGGGCCACAATAGGGGATCAGGGTTTTACATCCATTTGGAATACAAACTAAAATTGTTTAAAACTTTTCTACTCTAGAACCATTGGACCAGATAAGATGAAACAAAGTGAAAGCTTCCTGACATTATATAACTTGTACATTGTTCAAATCAAGCCCCCCCCCCCCCCCAGGGGTAAGGTGGGGCCATAACAGGAGATGTGTGATATGTGGGAATTAAGGGAATAAAATCTTCTCAAGAACCTGAACAGAACCATTAATTTCCAAACATTCCCAAGATGTGTGGATTTTTTCCCCTCCAAATTATGACCCTGGTTTAGCATTGTCCATAACTGGGATTAATTTTTTTCATAAGACACGCATAAAACCATAGGAAAAGAATTCTCTTTTCAAAACTGCAAGGCAATGTTATTTGTATTGATATTGAAACATCCTTGATATGTGGATTCATGGACCCCTTAGAGTTTTGGTAGGGGGCAGAAAAGGATCAACATTTTTCATGAAAATCTAGAGGAGAAGAAAATATCTTAAAAATCTTTGAATGAACAGCAGGGCTACTCTGGTGAGTGTTGTGGCCCAAGGTCCTGTTGTAAAACTAGATGGACACATATTTTTCTTATTCTGATGTTTTCTAACATGTGTTAATGTTATCAATTATATGGAACCTTTTCCTCCCTAAGAATGACTACTTATATCTTGTTTTCAATTGAAACTGTTGTTTCAAAACTGAAGAACATTGGATTTTAAGTTTGTTTATTGTATAAATGTTACAAAAACCATTATAATATTCAATAAATAAAAAGAAATCATAATCCAAACAGCCAATGTTTAGGACACATAATGAAATTAACAAATTGTCATTTAGTGCATAATTATGGATTTAATCCTTAGTTTCTAAAGTGAAAAAAAGGCACTCTACCTTTCAAATTAATATATACATTTACTACAGAAAAAAATGCTTACAGAATTTCAAATACTGTACATCAAAATATTATGCATCCCTTTTCTGATTACTCTGTCTTCAATCAATTGAAAAAAATACATTCAGGAAAAAACCCTATTAATATTCATGCAGCATTATAATGAAAAAAAAATCATTTCAATGACTCCATGTTCTGCCACCACTGTTTACATTTCAATTATTGATTTGACCTTTTCAAGTTTTCTAAAAGCAGCAACCTTCCAGCCTCATAGTCATCTTCATCCACACTTACCAACAACTTGATGGACTCATTGCCGACAGCTTCCTTCAGAGAATCTGTAAATCAAAAACATCTTTGATGGACTCATGTCATTATTTGTTCATTAAAAACACATAGGTAATCAATGATTGCAATCTCACCTCGATGAATATTATCTTTAAGTAAGGCAAATCTCACACCAAAATTTTCTAGTTTGTATGCATCGTGGAACAATATCCATGCAATTTTGGTTTAAGTAGGACTTATAGTTACTTGGGAAAAGATCTGCTCTGAAAAAAATTAACCTGTTCACTCATCCAAAAAATGTAGGCCAGATCCAGCAGTGTCCACCTCTAGTTGCATAATCCATGCAAGTTTGAACCAAGTAGGGCTTATTAGCTCACCTGATTTCTGATCACCTATTGCCCGTCCTTATGTCTTTCTATCTGTAAACTTTTCACATTTTCAACTTCTTCTCAAGAACCACTAAGCCAAATTCATTGGTACAAAGCATCCTTGGGTGAAGGGGAATTTAAATTATTTAAATGAATGGCCAAGCCCCCTTCCAAGGGGAGATAATCAAGATAAGGAAAAAATAGAGTTGGGTCATTCTATTCAAGAACCATTGGGCCAGAAAAGGTACAACTTATATGAAAGCTTTCTGAGGTAGTGTAGATTCTAAATTATTCAAATCATAGTCCCAGTAGGGTGGGGCCACAATAGGGAAACAAATTTTTACATTGAAATATATTGGGAAAATATTTCTTCTGAAGAACCCCTGGGCCAGAAAAGGTGAACCTAAGTGGAAACTTCCTGAGGTAGTGTTGATTCTAAATTGTTCAAATCATGGCCCAGGGAGGGGGTTAGAGTGGGGCCCACAATAGGGAATAAAAGTTTTACATTGAAATATAAAATCTTAAAAAATCTTCTCAAGAAACATTGAAGTAGAAATAATCACTGGAGTAGAAAAGATGAAACTTATGTGAAAACTTCCTGGAGATACTCTACATTGTAAATTGATCGAATCATGTACCCTGGGGGTAGGGTGAGGCCACAAAGGGGATCAAAGTTTAACTTTATATAGAAAAAATCTTTAAAAATCATCTTCTCAAGAACCACTGGACCTGAAAAGATGGAATTTAGTAAAAGTTTCCCAAAGTAGTGTACACTGTAAATTGTTCAGACCATAGCCTCAAAGTTGATTG